ACGAATACTGTTTTCGGAAGCCATGCTGAGTGGGTGTAAAGAAATCATTGTCTTGAAGAAACTTGATAAGGTGAGAGTAAATGACATGTTCTAAAATTTTTACATGGTACTGATGTGAAAGAGATGGGACGAAAGTTACCTGGATCGTGGGTTGTTCCGGACTTATGTAAAGGTACCACCCTATTAATTAACCAGTCGTTAGGAAGCACTGCCGTAAGAAGAGACTGTGTGAATATTTGTTCAAGGATTAGAGAAGTACTCTGCCGTGTATTTCAAGCATTTTGTGGTAATACCATCGCAGCCGCAAGAAGATGAAATCTTTTGTTTATTGATGATGGACCGTGTTCCTTCCGAGCTAATAACAATGACGTCCATTGAGGGAAAATTAAACGGCTTTGCAGGAAGTATGTCATTACTACTGGATGGTTCAGAGAAAGTTTCAGCAAAAGTACGGTTAAGTAAACATGCACACTGATGATCCGGAATTACATTACCTTGGGATATTAAAGACAGGTTGTTATGCTTGTTACCTCGTACAATGTTCCAAAATTGTTTGGGATTTTTTTGCAGCACTGATGGTAAGGTTCTGTTAAAAAAGGTAAATTTAGCTACTTTTAGTTCACTTAAGTAGGTAGCAGCTGCAGATTTGTAAGCTAGCCATCGAGCCGAAGACTGGGATGTCCTCGCAGCTCTAAACAGTCTTTTCTTGCGGTTAGAGAGTCTATTTAAGTGTCGGTTGTACCAGGGAGAATTAGTATTGCAGTACACCTTTCTTACCGGAATGTATTTATTTGTTAGTTCCAAAATTTTACTTCTAAATAGGATCCAGTTATCTTCTGCAGTGCGTTCAAAACTTGCAAGGAAAAAGTATCTAAGAAAGAGCATAATTTAGTATTTATGGTGTTAAAGTCAGCTCTGTTATAATCTCTGATCATTTTAAAACAGTTGGATGAGTGCAAACGTGGAAACGATAGAGAAAAGTGAATTATGTCGTGATCACTTAACCCAGGCAGCAGTGTTATCGAGGACACAAGATCTCGAGATGACGTCAACACGAGATCTAGAAGTGATGATGTGGTCGAGGTGACACGTGTGGGATGCTGAACTAATTGTGATAGCCCAAAGACATTGCAAATTGAAAGAAGTTCGGTAGATTCAGATGACGTTGCCATAGAGCACTGGTAAGTGTCTGACCACTGAATGTCCGGGAAGTTAAAATCACCTAAAAGAATAATAGTCGCACCTGGGAAACGAACAGTAATCAGGTTTAAGCAGTCATGAAAAGAATAGCAAAAGTTTGATGGGCTGGATGGGGGTTGGTAACAAACTGCAATAATTAGGTTTTTAAAGCCAGTACGAATACAACACCATACCGATTCTAAGTCGGTGAGAACAGGAACAAGGAAACATGCAATGTCATCTTTAATCGCAAGTAGAACACCACCACCTCGTCGCTCATATCTGTCACAGCGAAAGACCTTGTAACGTTGTTCACATTTTAATAATTCGGCATCAGAGACTGTATTCGACAACCACGCTTCACACAATCATTCATCGGGGCACACAAGTCATCACTTTTTGACAAAAGGCTACGTATGTTAGTACTTAGTACGGAGAGAGCACCGCCCCCTGCGTGACCCTAACTTAGATCACTTTGCGGCATACGGCCAAACCGGAGTCGACGCGGGGAGGCAGCATGACTATTTGCGGTTCTGTGTGTGGTATTACTGATGTTTTCGTCGTTACTAACAGCGTCGCTAACACTTGCGCTATCTCCTACGCTATTACTAGCCGGGGAACTTTTTCTTGTGGATGGACCGATGACGTACACTGCTTTAGTGGTTTTATCATAGCCGTAGTATTTTCCGTTGGCGAAAAGTTTCGTGTGTTTAAGATTGAACGAAACATGCAGTCCTTTGCCATATTCGTACAGAGCCTTTCGCGTATCCACGCGTAGTTGCACAAAAGTCCTCTCATAGAAACATTGCAGCCTTTTAGTAAGAAGCGTTTATCAAAAACGGTTTCTTTTTTAGGTCGAAAATTTTACGATAAGAGGGCGGTTCCGGCCACTAGAGAATTTGCCAATTCTATGCGCACGGGCTATACTATCAGACGATATCGTCAGCTGAAGCTTGCTAGCGAAAATTTTAAGAACTTTCATTTCAGATTGTTTGGCAGTCTCTGAAGCAACATCTTCAATCCCAAAGAACACAACGTTGTCCCTTCGGGAGCGGTCCTCGAGATCGTCAAGACGGGTTCGAAGCAAGTTCGTCTCAGTTTCCACGCGCTCCACTGCAGCACGTGTCGCATTAAGGTCTAGGTCTTCCCTCACACTGTCGAAACATGCTAACTGGCTTTCCACAGAACCCAGATGCTTGCCAATGTCGGCGATTTGGCTCGTAGCTGCTTTCTGTTGCTCCTTTAGCTCGGATATGTCATTGGACATGGCTGTTTGGGATGCCTCTATTCTGATAGACCGCGCGGACAAGTCCTTCAGCATTTTGGCAATATCTGCCACAGAATTATCGCCAGGACCAAGATTTTGCTCAACATCCCCACACACAAGCAAGAAAAGGGCACTGAATGGTTCAAGCAATGCTTCTGGGCATGGAAGCACCACAAAAAAGCGATCATCAAATTTGAAACAGGAATATGGAAGTTGACTAAGGTAACTAACCTGCGAAAAAACGAAGAACCACGGTATGAGCATTGTTCTCTCGGCGCCTCCATGCCCACTCGTGAAGACTAGCGCGCGTCCTGGGTTTGTAGGCCGCGGTGGAGCCACTGTTGCAACGGTCGATGTCGATCCGGGATAGCTCGCAACGAAGCTTGCTTGAGCAGGAAGCGTAGCAGGAAGATGTGGTTCGAGCGGCGTCGGTGAGTGCGTGGATATATGCGATAGGCACATGCCGGTATCGTTGGTGGCGAAACGCATGGCACGGGGGCTGTCAAAGAAGACACTCATGCTGCTATCACCCATCAATCCACCGGGCTGGAAGACGCGTCAGTGCAGGCAACAATAATCATCAAAAAAAACGAATAACCACGGTATGAGCATTGTTCTCTCGGCGCCTCCATGCCCACCACTTTCGGTCGAGTTCTAGCCTACGCACACGTTTAGAAAAGTTCTGACACCAGCAGCTGCACAAATGCTCCGTGTGGCCGATGGCGGCACGCCGATGGTTCTCAGTCTGTGCACTGCCCGCTTAAGTGTAAAGGACCACACTACTTCTGTCATTTTAGCCGTGATTGACCACTGCCCTTATGGCGTTATCCTAGGCCTGGACTTCTTGTCGAATCATTCTGCTCTTATCGATTGTGCTACTAGCGTCTCTCAGCTAGAGCTGCCTCAGATAGTCGCTAAACCCCACGTTGCCCCGCCGTACCTGTGCTCTCTTCAGGATGTACGACTGTCGCCTCAGGCAGCCAACTACGTCGTTTTGACTGCACAGCCACAGGTTCCCGATAATCAAAATGTCCCCCTGCATTTCGCCGACGTTATTTTGAGCCGCAACATCGCCATTCCACATACGCTCGTGACTGTCACTGATAACTGTACCTTGCTCCCACTTCTCAATTTCAGCTTGTGCCCTGAAGTGCTTCCTCGTGGCATGTTCTTTGCCAGCGTGTCTAATGCTGACGAATTCGAAATAGCGGCTCTCACCAACAAGATTGATTTACTTCAATCTCCTGTAGATAACAGCACTTGTTATCTGCCAAATCATTTCTCGAAGATGATTGCACCCGACCTCAATCCTGCGCAAGCCGACAACATACGTAAATCGCCTTCTCGCATCATTTTTTATTTCGACGACAGACCTATAGGGCAAACATCCAGTGTTCAGCGCCGTATAAACACTGGTGACGCCAGTCCTATTCGCCGACGCCCCTATCGTGTCCCACACTGAGCGCAGAATTATCCATGCGGAAGTTGACAAAATGCTCAACAAAGGTGTAATAGAACCATCAAGTAGTCCTTGGGCCTCCCCTGTCGTCCTTTTGAAGAAAAAGGACGGTATCTGGCGCTTCTGCGTTGACTATCGCCACCTCAACAAGATCACGTGAAAAGGCGTATACCCGCTACCACGCATCAATGACGCGTTAGACTGCTTGAACGGCGCTACATACTTCTCGTCTATTGATCTTCGGTCCGGCTACTAGCAGATTTCTGTCGATGAAATGGACCGTGAGAAGACGGCCTTCATTACACCGGGTGGTTTATACCAGTTGTTTAGATAAATTTTACCTTTTTTCGCTAGCTGAGCTGATGTCGACAAATTCTCCAGGAGGTGACCAGGAATGGCTTCCGCCTAGGTCGGCCTCTCTTCCACCTGATGAAGTGCCACTTGAAGCGTTCTTTCGTAGTGGTGTAAACAGTATTCCTGTAGCTCTGGTGCCCGTGCATGAAGGATCTATTCAGCTTACCAACCCGAAAGTGGTGCAAGCTGAGCTTCAGTCGGCCACGCACCACTACTTTCACATTACTGATGTTCGGCAGTTTGGCAAAAGTGAGATAATTTGTAGATCACCTGACCAAACTTGTGTGCATTATCTTCTGAAATGCTCAAAATTTGAATAGATAAAAGTGAATGCTTTCATCCCGCCACACCTTGCATGCACCAAGGGGATTTTTCGTGGCGTATATAGTAGCTTAAGCGCAGAAGAGACACTCGAGATGCTTTTCGCTGCTGGTGCGACAGCTATATACCGGTGCAATAGAACAGTCGATAAACAACGCGTCCCCACTGAGTCGCTGATAGCCACATTTCCTGGTATGTCATGCCCTTCGAAAATCAAAGTGTGGCCTTTTATTTTTAGAGTAGACCCGCTTGCCTCACGTCCATTACAGTGTCACAACTGCTGGCGCTATGGCCATAGTATGGGAGGTTGCAAATCTGCTTTGCGTTGTTGTTTTTGTGGTGGAGGTCACTCCCCGGATGACTGCTCTGCTCAAGTCCTCAAGTGCTGCCTGTGTATAGGTACACACAAGGCTGATAACCTTACATGCCCAGCTAGAAACCAAGAGATAAAAGTCTTAGAGATAATGGACAAAAGGTGATGCGCACGCAGGGAGGCTATTTGAGCAAGAAAAGAAAGAGAACATGGTTATGCTAGCGTAACTGCACGTCAACAGGCAATTATTGAAGCGAATATTTCGCAAGCGATCGCAGAATTGGTCGAAAAAGCTATGGCGAAACTGATGGAACGTGTCGTAGAGACTCTGTCCAAAGGTCTTACCTGGGTTATTAGCGTCACAAATAGGGCTATTGCCGCAAGTGGGTAGTGTTCCGGCAGTGAGTCACAGCCAAGGAAATGTTCCCGCATAAGTAGACGATGTTCAGACGATGCTTTCGGGTGAGGGTCCTAGTTCCAGCTTGTCTGCGAAGGGTGGTAGCTCTTCAGACTCACAAATATACCATGCAGATTTGCAGGAATGTGCAAATGGATGTTCACCCGCGTGCACAGAAACGAAGGGGGCTTCCGCTGAAGGTTTCCGATACCTGTACTAACTATAAATAAAAAAGGTCAACCTCAGATCAAGGGTACAGCTAAAATTTTGGATGAGGCCATAGCCTCTACGGTGCTTTTGTCACGAGAATATAGATGAGAGTGCTGTAGTGGAACTGTCATTTTTCGTATTTACTGCTTCTACTGATCTCAATGTTTTAATTTCTCAGATTCATCCAGATGTTATCATACTGTTATGGAGTGGTGGCTTCTGTACAAAATGTTTTTACGGAGGAAAAGCCACAGGCAAGAGTCACAATGGCTGATTGGCAAGCTCGCGCACCTCTCAGCTGATTGTGTCCTTCCTCTTCCTTTACTTCATTTCCGTAACGGGACCTGTGGGCGCTGGGTACCGTCTCGCCGCGAGTCCGGAGAAGTGCGACAGAAGTAGGGTTTCAGGCGCGAAACATGGACAATGTCTACAAGTGATGAACTTGGTGACGTATTGGAGTGCGATGCCGCTATCGTCGTAGTGGACGTCGCGAACTTGGCGTAGGACTTTATAAATAAGGTCCTGTGTATCGGGAGAAACAATTTTCGGAGAGACCTTACACGGTGACACGGTGACCAGAGGAGCACGTGGTCACCTGGGGCGAACGTTATATTACGATGCCAGTGGTCGTAGCGGACTTTTTGCATATTCTGTGACCTGGTGAGACGAGACTGGACAACTTGACGAGCCATGTGAGCCCGATGAATGGCTTCACGAGCGTACTCGGGAGCAGATGGCTTGAAAGGTAAGGTGGTTTCAAATGGCAATATGGGGTCACGACCATACAAAAGATAAGAAGGTGAGAATGCCGTGGTGTCATGTCGAGAGGAATTATATCGGAAAGCGACATAGGCCTACGTACACTGCAAAAACTATTTTCCCCTATTTACGTAAAAAGGCGTAGGTAACTAGCTGTCAACCACTTCCGTAAAAAAAGCAATACAGAAGGGATCACGTAGAACACATACAACGTACATCCCGTTCAACTTTCACGGAGGTCTCCGCAATAAAGAAATAAAGTAACGGCTTCTACGGAACAAAACCTGCTCCGTAGGGCCATTTCTAACACATAATTCATAATACTATTGCTACATGTTCGTAAATAACAAACGTGTTTGCATTAGACACAACATGAAGCATACCTAATCAGCAGATATTTTTTTCTGCAAGTACAAGGTTATTCAAAATTTTCTAGGCCACTATTCTAACTAATCTTGTGGCAGAATCACCTGGGAACTTTTGACTGCACCTGCATATGATAAAATTTATGAAGTGAATTCAAATGTTTAAAAACCAACAAGGACAAGTTTTCTATTCACTGAAATCAAATGTTATTTTCCCATGATCATAAAACGAAATTGTGAACAGAAATTGTCAAACATTTATTTTATTTCGGTGGCTTTGTATCTGGAATTTGAAATATGAAGAAGGAATCTCATAATTTCCAGATACCCAAAGCACGTTTGTTGTTTTCCTATTGTAACAGTATTGAGCAGACTTTATTTCTGAAAATGCGGAAAAATATTTTGTCACCGCAACTACACCAGGAGAGTACACAGCAAAAAACAGTGGGAGCACAACTATTTTTTCATTTCAAGACTCCAAATAGGCCTTGTTAGAGTCACTGGCTTGCAGCACAAAAATAAATGATCACACATAATAAATAATATTCTAACGGGTGCAAGAGAAGAAACGTAAAACTACTTTATTATGAACCAACTTGTGCCCTGAAATTTTGTGCGAAAAGATGGAAGAGTCCGCTAGAGCGTTCCAAAACAAAAACTGTTCATCTATTTGTTTGTTTGTTTGTATCTTCTAATCCATGGCTCGTACCAACTCTGGAGGATTGGCCAAGAGATCTTATAGTCTCATATGGACGGTAAATGCATTATTGCTTACAACGAAAAAAAAAAGGGGGGGGGGGAGTTGTATAGTGAAGACAGTATGTTAGAAAAAAGAAAGAAACCAAAGATTGAGATAGTGAGAAAAAAGAATCAACAACAAAGTAGACACTAATAGCTATAACTTGATTTTTGGAGCCAACCAGACAGCTGGTTTTGCCAAACACGATTAATTTGGTATGTCACGGATTTATCCAGATTTGAAAATTACTTTTCGACCCGTTTTTTTTGAGTACCTATGAACGTGGGCTTTATGTTGAAAAACGTTTAGAGTATTGAATAAAATTACACATCGCATCGAATGCATCTCTGAGGCAATTTCTCAAAACAGAGGCACCAAAATTTAGAACATTTTCTGTGGTTAAATTTAAACCTAGCTTCGCCAATGGAATATCTAAAAGTTGTTTCCTAATTATTGCATAGTTACGACATGAGCCAAAATAATGTTAGATAGTTTCTGATTCTTCGCAAAACGGACAAAGGGGGGAAAATGTCAGACCAGCTCTGCGTAAATAAAAATTTATTTGGGGACATGGCACCGGAATCTGGAGATTAAAATTTCAAGTTTTTTTTGACGGACTCCACTGGGCTTTCCATAGAAATTTGAGGTGCTGATAATCTGTACATTGTGTGATATTTTCTAAACTGTTCATCTGCCAACGCACCTTCTTCTTCGCAGCTCCAACCTACACTGACTCACGCCCGTGAACAAGAGACATGAGTCGTGCGGCCCCAAGCAAGAGTGCGCACAAGACTGTGGACGCTGATTCTTCATAATGTCGGATAGCGTAAACAGTCTCTGTGGCATTAGTCCTCCTTTGAAATACGCATCGTCCCGATGCGCGATGGAGGGAGGCAAAAGAGAAATGGAGCGTTTTCATTCCCTCTCATAATAAAGCTTCATACGAACGACGTGTACGGCTTCTGCGCTGTTTTGCCGCTTTGAACGGATGTGTCCATCGGCGATGACTTCGTAGTTAAGGTCACTAATTCGTCGGAGAACCTTATAGGGGCCAAAGTATCGACAAAGAAGCTTTTCTGATAGGCCGCGGCGTCGGAGTGGTGTCCATATTCACACTCGCTCGCCTGGGTTGTACTGAACTTTTCTGCGGCGCAGGTTGTAGTGGCTTGCGTCCTTGTTTTGCTGTTGATTTATTCGATGTCGTGTCAACTGGCGTGCTTCTTCAGCCCTTTGCAGAAAGTCGTCAAGTTCAGATGGCTTGTAATTGTCTACTGGCAACATGGCATCGAGTGTCGTAGTGACAGTGCGACCGTAGACCAGCTGAAATGGTGTGACGCGGATGGTCTCCTGCATGGCCGTATTGTAGGCGAAAGGTGCGTATGACAAGATTTCGTCCCACAATTTATGCTCAATGTCAACGTACATCGACAGCATGTCAGCGATAGTGTGATTCAGGCGTTCTGTCAACTCGTTGGTTTGGGGATCGTATGCAGTGGTCTTCCTATGGCTGGTGTTTGTCATTGTCATTAAGGACTGCATCAAATCAGCCGTGAACGCTGCTCCTCGATCGGTAATCACGACGAGTGAGACTCCATGACGAAGAACAATATTCTGAACGAAAAACTTCGTGACTTTCGTTGCCATTCCTCGCTCAAGGCAGCCGGTTTTTGCGTATCGTGTCAAATAGTCAGCCGCAGCTATTATCGACCTTTTTCCTGATGCCGACATTGGAAACGGTCCGAGGAGGTCCATTCCAACCTGTTGAAATGGAGTCGCAGGTGGCTCTATAGGCTCGAGAAGGCCGGACGTCTTGAGGGGTGGTGTTTTTCGCCTTTGACACTTGCGACATGTCTTGACGTAATGCTTCACGGACGCTAGCAACTTGGGCCAGTAGTATTCCTGATGAATTTTGGCGAAAGTTCGACTCGCGCCCAAGTGACCCGCAGACGGTTCATCATGACAGGCTTCTAAGACTTCATGCCTCATGGCTGATGGTACAACGATTAAGAACTTTTCCTTGTTGTGTTCGAAATTCCTCTTGTAAAGTGCATTATCTCGGAGGCAGAATGAGGATAACCCTCTCTTAAATACGCGAGGAAGTTGTTCGTCGTGCCCTTCGAGATACTTTATTAATGGGAGCAGTTCCACGTCAGCCCGTTGATGTTCGGCGATTTCTGAGGTTTTTATCACACAAAGGAGTGGGAAGTCCTCTTCTTCTGAAAGAGTCGAGTGGACTGGTGAACGTGATAAGACGTCAGCATCATCATGATTTCTGCCAGACCTATATATGACCGTAATGTCACACTCTTGGAGCCTGAGATTCCATCTCGCAAGCCGTCACGATGGGTCTTTTAAGCTCGCCAGCCAACTAAGTGAGTGATGGTCGCTGACGGCACGGAACGGCCTGCCGTAGAGGTATGGCCTGAACTTGCTGATCGCCCATATGACTGCCAAGCACTCTTTTTCGGTTGCAGAGTAGTTTCTTTCCGCTTTTGAGAGGGCGCGGCTAGCATACGCCATCACTTTCTGTTCTCTATTTTGCCATTGCACCAGGACCACACCTAGGCCAAGATTGCTGGCATCTGTATGAACTTTCGTATCTGCGGTTTCGTCAAAGTGGGCCAGGATAGGTGGGGCTTGCAAACGTTTCTTTAGTTCGTTGAATGCTGTGTCTTGTTCGGTGCACCAAATAAATGGCACGTATTCTTTTGTGAGTCTTGTTACAGGTTCAGCAATTTTTGCGAAATTTTTCACAAAGCGCCTATAGCACATAAACAAAAAAATCCGCGTACCTCCTTGGAAAACAGCCCCACGGCCACAGTCTTCTCCGGGTCCGGGCCAACACCTTGAGCACTGATTACATGACCGAGGAAACGAAGCTTCTCGAACCCAAACTGGCATTTTTCTGGTTCAATCGTCAAGCCGGCTGACTGGACAGCCTGAAGTTTCGAACGTAGTCGCTCTACATGCTGTTAAAACGTTGCTGAAAACACCACAACGTCGTCCAGGTAGACTAAGCACGACTGCCGTTTGAGGCCTGAAAGGGCGCTGTCCATCATGCGCTGGAATGTTGCACGCACACAACAAAGGCCGATTGGGAGTGCTTTAAACTCATATAGATCATCCGGGGTTACGAAAGCAGTCTTTTCACGGTCCCTTTCGTCCACTTGAAATTGCCAATAACCACTTTTTAAATGCAATGAAGAGAAATACCTTGCGTGCTGTAGCCGATCCAACGTATCATGAATACGCGGCAAAGGGTAGACATCCCGCTTGGTCACGCTGTTCAGCTTTCTGTAATCAACGCAGAATCTCAGCGTGTTGTCCTTTTTCCTCACAAGGACTACAGGCGACGCTCACGGACTATTGAATGGCTGTATGACATCATCCTCCAGCATCTCTTTCACTTAGTTCTGACCTACATCATGCACCAAAACATGTGAAGTTGCTGGCATATCAGTCCCTCATCAGATCAAAACTCGAATATGCCTCCCTCATATGGAACCCCCCCCAAACATACCTCATTAACGACCTCGAATCTGTCCAAAATCGCGCCGTTCGATTCATTCACTCCCAGTACTCATACGACATCAGCATTTCAACCTTGAAAGCACAATCCGGTTTATCACCCCTCTCTGTTCGCCGCCGTATCGCCACCCTTTCTCTCTTTCATAAACTTTTTCATTCTTCTCTCAATGCAGCTATTTACATCCTCCCCCCGACATACATTTCAAACCGCACAAGCCATCCACTTCAAGTGTCCCGTTATCGCAACGGAACTGCCACTTTTTCAGCTTCTTTTTTTCCCCGCGCCGACAAGGATTGGAACGACCTTCCCTGCTCCATTGCTTCAACCACCTGCCCATCATTCTTCGCGGCAAATCTTACAAATCACCTGTGCTGCGAAAACTAACGTGTTCAAATGTTCTCTTTTCCTGTGTATCCACCCTTTATGTAATACCCCCCAGTGGGATCCTTAAGGAAATAAAAATGAAAATCAAATGAAATGATCTCACGTTCCTTCGGTAATACTCTGTACGGATTTTGGTTTACCGGCCTTGTAGCTTCGTGTGTTATTATTCGGTGTTTAACAACCTGGGTCCACCGTACTTTTTGCGAGGTAGAGAAACATCTGGTGAAATCTCTTAGGAGGTCTTGAATGATTTTCTTCTCGGCTGGGGATAAATTTTGGCTGATTGCAACTCTTGCCACGACATCGGGCGCAGGTTCCGAAGTAGGTGGCCCTGACACCAGACCACATAAGTTCGTCACTGTTTGAAAACCGTGCAGCAAGGCGATAGCATTGTCCTTTGCAACATGCTGAATTTCGTTTCCGAAATTCGTGAACAATACATCGGCACATCCACCACGTAATTGAATAATGCCTCGAGCTGCACAAATGCTTTTCTTGAGCAGTAGATCGATGTTTTCATCCTCTATACCTTCAGAATCAACGAATGTTTCATTTCTTACACCGACTATTACGCTGCATCGTGGCGGCACGGTAACATCACAATCTATAACACGGAATGCAGTGTATTCTGGCTCATTTGTGTCTATGGCCAGTTTGGTAGAAAAAGAGACACCAGAATTCTGCAGGTCGATTATAGCCCCGTTTGCTAGCAGAAAATCTATTGTGAGTATTAAATCTCTAGAGCATTCCGGAAGTACGACAGTCAGCAACGTAAGTAGCGCCTTGAATTCCGATTCGTGCGGTACATCTTCCCAGAGGTGTGATGAGATGATCCCCAGCCGTGCGTATCTGGGGTACACTCCAAGGCGTCACGACTTTCTTTAAATCCTTTGCGGCAGCGTAACTGACAACCGAATAATCAGCACCTGTGTCAACTAAAACGGTAAATTCGCCCCCGTCTATGGTAACGCGTAATTCTGAAGAAATTTTGTCCCTACCTAATCTAGTTGTAGTGTTCCACTCGTCGTTGCTGCACTGGGACCTTGACGGAGGATCTTCCGTTGGTCGGACATCAGCAGCCTTGCCTCCATAGGTCGCTGGCTTCAGTTTTCCTGATGGGGACTGCTTGAACGACGGTGTGTTGAGGTTGAAGGTGGAGAAGGTGAACTAAATCGTCGAGGGCTTGACGATCAATAGCGAGCAGGCGCTGGTGATCAAGGCTGATGCTGGAAACCAGCAGTTGGAAACAGATGGCCGGACAAGTAATCTTCAATTTCAACGGGTCTTTCGCCATTTCGGGGGCATGGCGCGTTTGGAGAAAACCCACGGAGAACAACTCGTCGATATGGGCACATTCTGTACAGGTGTCCAGCTTCGCCGCAGTGAAAACAGAGAGGCGTCCTGTCGGGTGGGCGCCACACGTCGCTTTTTCGTGGCCTCAAATTAGCTGGATACTTTGAGCCATGCCAAGCCGATTGGTAGCCACTGGGAGCTGCAAACGAAGCAGTATGCACGGCGGGCTGGCGCACGGCGTCCGCGTAAGTCGGTACGGGGCGTTCCTGCAATTGCTGTTCAAGACGAACAGGTTGTGCCTCGGGTTTGGCTTGAAGAATGGCGTGGCGAACTTCATCTCTGATCAGGGTAGTCAGAGACGAAACTGGCATTGTGATTTGTCGGGGCAGCAGCTTCTGGAGCTCTTCCTTCACAATGGATCACACCATTTCCCTCAGTGCTTCGCTGCTGCTTCCCAGGTTTGCTGAGAGGACATCCGCAGGAACACTACTCGTGTCATGATTGTAGTGACGGGAGCGCTGCTGGAATGCCCACTGTATGAAGGTGGCTTCGTTGCGGAATTCAGCAACTGTACGAGGTGGGTTGCGTACCAAACCGGCAAATAACTCCTGTTTGACACCTCGCATAAAGTGACGCAGCTTTTTCTCTTCGTTCATGTTCGGGTCAGCGCGTTTGAAAAGGCGGGATATGCCCTCAATATACATGCCAACGCTTTCGTTCGTGCGCTGGTTTCTGGACTGTAGAGCGTTCTCCGCCTTCTCCCGACGATCGGTGCTGGCATATGAAGCTACTAATTGTCGTCGGAATTCTTCCCATGTCGGTATGAACGCTTCGTGGTTTTCATACCACGTCCTCGCTGCATTCTCCAATGCGAAGTACACGCGACGCAGTTTCCTTGCTTCATCCCAGCCGTTGGTTTTCGCAACCCGCTCGAAGTGTTCTAACCAATCCTCCACATCCTCGAACGTGTCGCCGTGGAAGGGCTCAGGCAAGCACGGTGGGGACAGAATAAAGTCAGATGATGTCACCTGGTAAGCCATCGTTCCGTTGTCTGTTGACGCTGCTTGTGTTGCTGGAGCACTGGGGAGGGGTGCGAATTCAGGTGGCTCTCCTCGGAAGCAGCGGCTTGAACGCTGGTGTACCGGAGTCATTTCGCCAGGTTCCAATCGTTGAGGATCGGGGCTTCGCTCTCTTGCGCCAAGGGGGCTTCCAATCATACCCAGCACCGTCCACCAGAATGTAACGGGTGCAAGAGAAGAAACGTCAAAAACTACTTTGTTATGGGTGAACTTGTGCCCTGAAAATTATGTGCGAAAAGAAGATGGAAGAGTCTGCTAGAGCGTTCCAAAACAAAAACTGTTCATCTTTGTTTTGTTTTGTTTCCCTGGGATGTTGGCTCATACCCACTCAGGGGGATTGGCCAAGAAAGTGTAGTGCAGTTTTTCTGTGATCATTTTAACTATGTGTAATGAATTGGTATTATAATAAGACTAATGTAAAAAACAACACAAAAAGAGCAAACGAAAAAAAATCTAGTTGAGCAATTTTGAGATTTGAGGTTTTATGATTACCACACAGCTGCGTTTACCCCACTCTGCCCTGGGGAGTAATAAATAATTTTTTTGATTGAAGATCACAAAGGTATACGCTTGGTTGCCTGAATATAATCGCAAACGGCATTGAAAGCATCCCTGTGGCAATGTTCCAAAACTAAGGCACCAAAGCTCAGCGCCGTTTCCGCCGTCAATCTAACGCCCATTTTCAGAAATGGCATAACTAGTAACCTTTTTTGAAATATATCGTAGCGGCGACAATACAAAAAATAATGATCTAGTGATTCCATTTCTCCGCAGAATGCGCAGAGGGGTGATGTTGTCTGACCAGCTCTGTGTAGATACAGGTTTAAGGGGGGGGGGGGGGGACTCGACATCGAAATTTAGTAATTAGGACTTTGAGCTTTCTGGACTGGCTCCAGTGGGGTTGCCATGGAAACATGAGGTGGTTATACTCTGTCCATGTAGTTACTTTTTCTATCGTATCAGTGGAGATTGCTGATTTTCGATATCTTATTGCCGTGATATATTCAACATCTGGCAGTATGGACAAAACAGGCCCATCAAGTGCGGCTCGTGCTAAGGAATCGGCCAATTCATTTATTCTTAATCCACAGTGTGCCGGAACCCATAGTAACCTCAGGAGTCTTAACTGCGGGGGTACTAATGTTTTGAATGTGCTTAGAATTGGAGAGTTTTCTGAAGCTGTCAGAGCTGCACAAACTGAAAGAGAATCCGTCATTATGAATGCGTTGTTTTGATTTGATGGAAGTTTTCGAAGAGCTAAAATAATCGCCACGAGCTCCACTTCAAAAACTGGAGTAAAATCAGGCAGTCTCACTGAAAAGGACCAGTCAAGCGAATTAGAGACAATGCCTACACCTGCCTTTTGATTATTTACGGAAGCATCTGTGGATATTATATTTTTAGTTGCTGCATGCTCCAAGTAATCTAATAATATATTATTTAAAAATTTCAGAGATGGTAATTTGGCGTTTTGGGGAATATACCATCATACTGAATAATAACATGACAATTAGAGTCATTTGTCTCAATTACATTTCTAATGTTCACATTTATACTTTGTAGATTCTTTTGTACAAACATTATCTGAGGTGTGTGAAACCGTGGCCAATGAGCAAGAAAGAAGGCGTCTGGGTTTGCAATAAAAGCATATTGAGATCTTTTTGCCGGTCAGCTATAAAATTTTAAAAATGCTTGTACGGTCAAAATTTGAAATCGACAAAGTAGTGTAGGCAGGCGCGCTTCCTGGTGCAGTACGTTGAAAGCTGCCAACGCACCTTCTTCTTCTTCGCAGCTCCAACCCACACTGACTCGTGCCCGTGAACAAGAGGCATGAGTCGTGCGGCCCCAAACAAGAGTGCGCCCAAGACCGTGGACGCTGATTCTTCATAATGTCGGATAGCGTAAACAGTCTCTGTGGCAATATTACATTCATACAGAATGAAAGGGCTGAAAGCACAAACAACTTTATGAACACACCAAAATATTGGCTTATAATATTAGTTGAGGCAAATGAAGCAAACGAGTAATTCAATGTATTAAACAATACAACGATTAAGGTTATACCATGGAAAATCACCCAGCGTTTTTGAACATCACGAATATGGTGAAAAAAATTTTCATGTTTCTTGAAGTTTGAAACTCATCCTGGTCATTTCATTCCATTGCCAAGAATTTCGCTCCCTTGTTATGAGAGTTTGTAGTATGGCACCGACTGAGCTAAAAGTAGTCAAACAAGAATTTTTTTTCAGAAGTCATTTTGGAATGCACTCAATAAATCGCATTTCCAGCAAGGTAATGAAGTGATCTAACTAAGAATGATGACTTGCTTATGTATATTCATTCTTGCATCCCACGAGCAGTGTCAAATATAGTTGCCAGGTATGGGATTTTTTTCTGGTAACATGGCAAATTCCAAGGACACAAATAAAATGTGTGCTGGTGACCTTCTTGACATGCTACAGATCGAAAATAATTTACGCACTTAAATTTAACAGGTAGTCTAAAAACTGTGAATTTCACTTTTTTGGGAAAAGCTCTATATGCAACATCAAAAAGCTTGCCTTGGTGGTTGGTAAAAAAATATGCACTATTCATCTTGAAGCTCTATGTACTACCTCAAGGTAGGTGGAGTTACTAAAAGGTATTTTTTACACTCGAGAAGTATTTCTTTGAAATTATGTATTGTAGCGGCGTGAGAAAAAGGAGGCGTGAGATGACGTCGAAAGCGGCCGATGGGGCCGTGCCGATCTCGCCACTTTATTGCAGGCCTGAAGCGGAACCACGTCGGCTACCAGCGTCCGCCACGCCAGGCGTGTCAGCTCGTTCTCATTCTCGCGCAGCTCGAGCTATCAAACGCTGCGCGAGAGGCGCGGCGCGGTGATTGAGAAATGATGATGATGATGATGGCGCTACAGGGCTCTCCCCCTAGCGCTTTGCGCGATTTGAAAACATATGAAAAAGAAAGAGACTATATACATGAACGAAAATCCGCAAGGTGTCCGTTTAGGAAGTCCAGTTTGTGAACGTTTATGGGCCATCCGTAAGCAGTGTGTCTCCGGTGGGCGACTCTGGGAGAAGCGCAAGGGACGAAGAAGGAAGTGCCGGGTCGCTGTGTTCATAGACACGTCCATCCCACAATTACGCGGCGGGACCATTCGAATGCGCACCCGCCGTTTCGAGTAGACGCGGCTGACAAACGTGCCCACAGCTGGAACTGTGGACAGGCGCTGAAGAGCTCGCGCCGGCAATGTGGGCGAAATAGTGTGAATGGTCGGAACGCACCCATGATGACCGAGCACTGAAGTTTCACAGTCACAGCGGGGTCTCCGACAGCGCACAGGGTGCCGAGCCTGCTGTCGACAAGGAGCAACGTCGCGGTCGTGCTGGTGCGGACGTCTCTGTCGATGAAACACCGGCCTCCGCGTAGCACTGCGACCGGCATGCCGGGGCGTGTGGCCGAGTCGACGGATGCGGAAACGCCGTGCATTGCGGCTAGTCATGTGCACGGCAAGTGGTTGGCCCTTGCGTCGGGAAAACCTCGTAGGTGTTTGCGCCGTCTTGAAGGCCAAAGCTGCAACGCACGGCTGCATAGCAGGACGCTTGAAAAGGGGACGTTGTGTTTTACGGCGAACGCGATGATTTCTTCTGTGCGCTGTCAAGTGTGGTAGACAGGCAGTAGGATTGGGCGTCGTCGCTCGTGTCACCAACGAGCCCGCGTTGCGGACACACGTCTGGTAGTTGCCGTCCAGCGTCAAAGGCTCCGAGGGATGGTTGTTGAGCCCAGAAGTCGTGGCCTGGGGGTTGAATGGCGTGCCCGTGCTCGTCGCGGCAGCCTGGTGGTTGTCCGCCTGCATGGGTGGTACAAAACGTGCGGTCTGTCCGGCAGCATCCCGGAAGTTCGGTCGTAGCATGTCACGGGCAGGAACTTCAGCTGCGGGAGACGTTGAGGTAGGTGATAGTGGCTGCTTGCAAGACGTACGGCGCGTTAAGGCCGGTTGAGAGTCATCTTCGGACACCGTCGACGGCGATGCCTCCGCGATTGGGGGGCGAATAGCAGGCACGACGATGTCCGTAGTTGCGGCAGGCTCCAAGGCGTGCGGCGAGGTTGCCGTCGTGAAGACTGACCTGCCTGAGTTGTCTGGGGTGGAGGAAGACGTGCAAGTGGCAGGCACGAGTGACAGACCTGCGTTCGCGGGCTCCAAGGGGACGCCTCTCTCGGTGCTGAAACCAGTCGAAGTGGGAGCGTCGTCTACCTGGTCGTCGTGCTCAGGTGCAGATTTGGATTTTCGTGCGACTGGATCTGAGGTAGGGGGAGTCGTAGCAGGGGTAGCGCGGTCGCGGTCAATGGATGGTTGCGGGCTGGTTGGTAGTGCGCGCTGCGACGCAGTCGAAACCTGTAAGTCGCGGGTGAACGGCAGCGGGTGGTAGGTGAGGCCATGTCTGGCAAGCACCGCCGAGCAGAGGTCATCGTAAGGCTGCTGGCTGGAGGTTGAAGTGCCAGAGAGATGACGCAACTCTACCGGAAGGGCGTCTTGAAGAATGGCGTGCATCAGCAGCTGGTCCGTGATGCCATTCACCGCAAGAACGGCGTCGAGCTGCATAAACCATACCTTGGGGTAAGTTGATTGGTACGGCGGCACTGGTGGGCAGAGTTGCGGGAACATGGCCGCGGGCCGCTCGGCGAAGGGCGTGTACTCCGGGTCACCAATGTAGCGGCGTGAGAAGAAGGAGACGTGAGATGACGTCGAAGGCGGCCGATGGGGCCGTGCCGATCTCGCCACTTTATTGCAGGCCTGAAGCGGAACCACGTCGGCTACCAGCGTCCACCACGCCAGGCTTTGTATGGGCCATCCGTAAGCAGTGTGTCTCCGGTGGGCGACTCTGGGAGAAGCGCAAGGGACGAAGAAGGAAGTGCCGGGTCGCTGTGTTCATAGACACGTCCATCCCACAATTTACGCGGCGGGACCATTCGAATGCGCACCCGCCGTTTCGAGTAGACGCGGCTGACAAACGTGCCCACAGCTGGAACTGTGGACAGGCGCTGAAGAGCTCGCGCCGGCAATGTGGGCGAAATAGTGTGAATGGTCGGAACGCACCCATGATGAGCCGAGCACTGAAGTTTCACAGTCACAGCGGGGTCTCCGACAGCGCACAGGGTGCCGAGCCTGCTGTCGACAAGGAGCAACGTCGCGGTCGTGCTGGTGCGGACGTCTCTGTCGATGAACACCGGCCTCCGCGTAGCACTGCGACCGGCATGCCGGGGCGTGTGGCCGAGTCGACGGATGCGGAAACGCCGTGCATGCGGCTAGTCATGTGCACGGCAAGTGGTTGGCCCTTGCGTCGGGAAAACCTCGTAGGTGTTTGCGCCGTCTTGAAGGCCAAAGCTGCAACGCACGGCTGCATAGCAGGACGCTTGAAAGGGGACGTTGTGTTTTACGGCGAACGCGATGATTTCTTCTGTGCGCTGTCAAGTGTGGTAGACAGGCAGTAGGATTGGGCGTCGTCGCTCGTGTCACCAACGAGCCCGCGTTGCGGACACACGTCTGGTAGTTGCCGTCCAGCGTCAAAGGCTCCGAGGGATGGTTGTTGAGCCCAGAAGTCGTGGCCTGGGGGTTGAATGGCGTGCCCGTGCTCGTCGCGGCAGCCTGGTGGTTGTCCGCCTGCATGGGTGGTACAAAACGTGCGGTCTGTCCGGCAGCATCCCGGAAGTTCGGTCGTAGCATGTCACGGGCAGGAACTTCAGCTGCGGGAGACGTTGAGGTAGGTGATAGTGGCTGCTTGCAAGACGTACGGCGCGTTAAGCCGGTTGAGAGTCATCTTCGGACACCGTCGACGGCGATGCCTCCGCGATTGGGGGGCGAATAGCAGGCACGACGATGTCCGTAGTTGCGGCAGGCTCCAAGGCGTGCGGCGAGGTTGCCGTCGTGAAGACTGACCTGCTGAGTTGTCTGGGGTGGAGGAAGACGTGCAAGTGGCAGGCACGAGTGACAGACCTGCGTTCGCGGGCTCCAAGGGGACGCCTCTCTCGGTGCTGAAACCAGTCGAAGTGGGAGCGTCGTCTACCTGGTCGTCGTGCTCAGGTGCAGATTTGGATTTTCGTGCGACTGGATCTGAGGTAGGGGGAGTCGTAGCAGGGGTAGCGCGGTCGCGGTCAATGGATGGTTGCGGGCTGGTTGGTAGTGCGCGCTGCGACGCAGTCGAAACCTGTAAGTCGCGGCGTGAACGGCAGCGGGTGGTAGGTGAGGCCATGTCTGGCAAGCACCGCCGAGCAGAGGTCATCGTAAGGCTGCTGGCTGGAGGTTGAAGTGCCAGAGAGATGACGCAACTCTACCGGAAGGGCGTCTTGAAGAATGGCGTGCATCAGCAGCTGGTCCGTGATGCCATCACCGCAAGAACGGCGTCGAGCTGCATAAACCATACCTTGGGGTAAGTTGATTGGTACGGCGGCACTGGTGGGCAGAGTTGCGGGAACATGGCCGCGGGCCGGCTCGGCGAAGGGCGTGTACTCCGGGTCACCAATGTAGCGGCGTGAGAAGAAGGAGACGTGAGATGACGTCGAAGGCGGCCGATGGGGCCGTGCCGATCTCGCCACTTTATTGCAGGCCTGAAGCGGAACCACGTCGGCTACCAGCGTCCACCACGCCAGGCGTGTCAGCTCGTTCTCATTCTCGCGCAGCTCGAGCTATCAAACGCTGCGCGAGAGGCGCGGCGCGGTGATTGAGAAATGATGATGATGATGATGGCGCTACAGTATCTCCACCAGCTTTCATCATCATCATCATCATCATCCTCATCATCCTCATCATCATAATCATCATCATCATCATCAGCCTGACTACGTCCACTGCAGGACAAAGGCCTCTCCCATGTTCCGCCAGTTAACCCGGTCTTGTGCTGCCAATTTTTACCCGCAAACTTCTTAATCTCATCTACCCACCTAACCTTCTGTCTCCCCCTAACCCGCTTCCCTTCTCTGGGAATCTAGTTAGTTACCCTTAATGACCAGCGGTTATCCTGTCTACGCGCTACATGCCCGGCCCATGTCCATTCGCTCTTCTTTATTTCAACTATGATATCCTTAACCCCCTTTATCCCCTAATCCACTCTGCTCTCTTCTTGTCTCTTAAAGTCACCAGCTTTACCCGTACTTAACTCAAGTGGCATGAAGCACTCGCAAGGGCATTTTTCAACAGGCTTTCATAGATCTGAGGTACACACGGCAAACTTGATCGAGAGCGATAGAAATTGGGATGGGGCTATCATCGGCATTCTATTGCCAACAGAGGTGCACTACAATGAATGTCGCTAGAGTGTGGACACCAGTAACGTAGCAAAATGATATTTTTCGCATGTGGGTGGTGTGTGAGGGGAAGGCGACTTCGGTCATACTTTATGTACATCCTTGTGTGTTTGTATGTGTGCATGTAAGTATGCACATGCAGAACTAAGAAAATCACAGCATATCTACGAAGTGAATGATGATGAGTGGGGCGAATCTTCAGGGGGTTTCATCGGTAACCGTGAATCCACCTGTCTGTCTGTCTGTCTGTCACCCACACTAGCGCCTTCTGCTTAGTCATCGATAAACTAGGCGGTTACGAACCAGTCACAGTATAAGGACAATCCACGGCTTTAGGATAAAAAATACCTTGACTGTGCTGGGGGGGGGGGTGTTAAGCAGCTCCTTTTGCCTTTCTCGCTAAGGCATTGGTGTAATGACTATGAGCCATCAAGCCGTTACGAAGTATAGAGTACTCAATTATCTCTTACGCACAACATTAACGAGACTATCGCCTCGGCTACCAGTTCTTAATTTAGTTTTTTTCGCTTCTGTATTCATATGACAGGCTTTGGGTCTCAGGGAGCAGGGTGCTCTCCTGAAAGCCAAAAAAATAAGAAATGGTTGTTTTACGATAGCGTTTATCAGTGTACTGCATCAATGCTACAAGCATGCTATAAGACATATCTACTAAATATGACTAAATATTTTATTAAGTGTATAAAACTCACCTACCGCAATTGCAGAACTCCCCAGGAAAGCAGAATGTCTGACTTTATATCTATAAAGCTGCATGGCTCACCTGGAAGTCACCACACTAAACTCGGTCCTTGTAGCACCCCTCCGTTGGCAATGGAATGCAGATGATAACCCTATTTCCATTTCAGTCACTCTGAAAAGAGCAGCAAATTCGCCCTCTGCATTCTAGGTCAGTGGGATTCTGCTGACGATTGCCCTTGCGACTGTGTCATGTCGCTTTAGCTACGTAGACGAAATATACATATTTCAAGAAAAAGTATTTTTCAAATTTAAAAATAAAACTCCTTAGTAATTCCAACTATAATTAGCTTGTTCATAGATCTTTAAAATAAAATTTTGCGCATATATATATAGTCCGACCACCAAGGCAAGTTTTTGATGATGAATGCAGAAGTTTTTCAGAAAGTGACACTCACAATATTTTTCAGTCTCTGATATAACATCAGTGCCCAAACTATTTTTAATTTGCAGCATGTTGACAGGCCACCAGCACATATTTTACTTGTGTCCTTCGAACTTACCATGTTCCAGAAAAAACCAAATCTCAAATGTGGCAACTTCATTCAATATTGCTCATGTAAAAAGCCCTTAAAGAATTGATATACATATTTGAGTCATTATTTTAAAGTTAGATAACTTTATTACCTTGCTAGAAATGTCTTTTATTGGGTGCATTCCAAAAACTTCTTTAGCTAAAAATTTTTGTCTGACACCTTTATCATCAGGTAGGTACAAACATTAATTACGGCAGTAATTATAGAAATAAACACAACTATCTATTTTCCCAGTGCTAATATCCAGTCGGATCGAATGGGCGAATTGAACCCCTTCCTACAAATGGTCCATAGTCAGTTTAAAATTTAACAAAAGTGGCCACTGATAATCACCGCAGAGCAATGCATTCTGTTCAATTTAGCTGGCGAAACCAAAACCGATGTACCAAACAGTGCATCTACCCTACACTTGGACAATGCCCTCCTCTGTTTCTCTTGCCTTGGGGAAGAAGATTAAGCGAGCGCCGATAAGCAGGTACAAAGCAAAGTGTCTAAATGGACGGTTGATAACCACTAGAGAAACAGTGTCGTCATTGAGGGCGTTGTCGAAATTAATGGTAGATGTGCTGTCTGGTGCACCAGTTTTCATTTCGACAGCTAAATTAGGCAGATTGCATCACTACACGTTGATTATCAGTGGCTGCTTTTCCAAAATTTCAAAGGGGCTATAGCCTTATCATAGAAAGGCCTTGAATTTGCCCATTTGACTTGACCAGCTACTACCACTGGTAAAAAAGTAATTGTCTTAATTGCTATAATTACTGCCGCAATTATTGTTTGTGCCTATCTGAAGATTCTTTTTGTCACAAGAAAGGCAATGCCGCAACTAGCACGCAAGTGCCTCCTTTCTCTGATATTTAAAGAATATTGGACACATTTCTTGAAACACCCTGTATTTCATACACGTGCAGACAATGCGAGGTAAAAACAAACAATGAAGAACGAGCGAGAAGAAATAACTAGCTCATAAAAAGACAGCCCCAGAGTCAAGAATGTTTTTCTGAGGGGGGAGCGCATGTTGATGGCCATGAAAAATTAATTTCTTCATTACTTATGCTCAGTAGAACAACACACGACATTTGAATTTGGCGAGGGGGGGACAATGTCTTGGGGCACCCCTCTGGCTACAGGCCTCCACTGAGCCCACTTCCTTGCAATACAGTAGATGTAACATAAGCAGAAGAAAAGTTGTCATTACTAACAGATGTAAACGGAGGTCTGCAAAAAAAGTCTTGAACCCAAGTGTGCACATTCAGAGGAATGTTTAGCAAAAAATTTAGCGAGAAACTTTATGAAGAGCTGTAGAAAAATATGGAAACAATGCATCGACCTGAGAGCCCATGTCAAGTAACAAATGTTTACAGTCACAAAGGCCAGCAAGTCTAGTGTCACATGAAAAGACTTACAAAAGCCGCACTTATATTTGAAAATGATGTTACGAACTTCCAGCTGGAGGCGTCGCCTTGCAACAGGAAAGCTGCTACTCAACACAGATTAATTTTCTTAATTGTTATAAAAGTTGGCAATGATGGGTCTGATCTTACTAGTTGAAAAGTGGCCTAAGCATGCGCTCTCAAAATCAAAGTATAGTTGTTGACTTTTTATACAAACTCCATGGCACCGCCACTCATTCCACGGAAGTAATGTAAAATTACTTCTTTAGTGAGTGCTGTTTTTACCTTTTATGCTCTCGCTGACTAATTTGATATGCTGCAAAACACGGTAACAAGGTTCCAGCAATGTTTACAATACTCTTGCTAAGTTGACAGCACTAAACGTTTGCACTCACTACGGCTCCAGGTTGCCAGTGTAAAATTAGACGCAGAAATAACAACTGCGGGTCTTGAAGGTCACTTTTGGAAGGCTATGTTTTGAATGTGCGATGTCGAAAGCCAATTTCAAACTAGATAATGACAACAAAGTAAACATCATCTACATGGGACAGCTTTGTTTTAAGCTCACTAGCATGAAAGAACATTAACAATGAGTATGAAATCTTGACTGTAGTGCTATAGCCTCATGCGACGAAAATATGGGTGGGCTTATGAGCTGCTTGATCACCTGTCACTGTTCCATGCTGCTGGACTGAACGAAGAATCGTCCAGAATTGGCAGTGGAGGATGCAGCGAAA